CTCTCTCTCTCTCTCTCTCTCTCTCTCTCTCTCTCTCTCTCTCTCTCTCTCTCTCTCTCTCTCTCTCTCTCTCTCTCTCAGAGTCTCTCTCTCTCCCCAACGTGCCTCGCTCGTGAGGGCGAGGAGATCTCTGTGAATCAGAAACGAAAACCAACGGAGTTATGACTGAAAAGACTACGGGGACACATCAGTCATCAAAGCGTAAGAAAATACCGCTGGAACGGAGGTGGATAAGAAGCATACCTCGGGCACAAATGGAAGGAGATCAGGACGTTGTCATCGCTGGGAGTGAGCGCTCACGCAGCATCATCTCGCTTATAACGGCACTAGCCCTAAATCCTAAATTAAGCAAGCTCGTCTATTTTCCGGTCTCAAAGTCTGTTCTTTGAGAAGTCACGTCGGAATTCTGACCAGCTGAGGTCACCCGATGCTCCCTCCCGCGAGCACTGCGTCTTTAAGAGGGCCCACCTCCATCTTAAAGCTTTTGCTTATTCGTTTCACAAGGCTTGAAACAACTTAGTGTCAATTATTGTTATCCCCCCCCCCCCTCTCCCCCCCCTTCAGCACCATTTCACGCCTTCCGTAAGTGACTCCTCCCATTCTGACTCCCCCATGGAAGTAACGCCGTGCTCAAATCCGCTGAGCAGTCCGGATGTCTTGGGATCGGACTCATTGGGCGAGAGAAAGCAATCGCTTTGACAATCCATATTCGTTGAGCAGCCGCAGGCAAGCTTGACGTCGATTGAGTAGAAGTCCGACTCTCTCGATGACGCTCCGCCTCTCGCGGACATCTGGATAGCAGAAGAGTTTGCTTCTCTCGGGGATCTTCAGCAAGGGGAAGGCAATCGAGGACCGAAATCCACAGCTGAACGGCGGCAATATCCAAACTATGAATAGGACGGAAATTGCACAGATGAATGTCAGCAAAGTCCGATCTGTGCGTGGGAAACTGACGACTCGTGAGTTGTTAGAGAGAGTCGACTTGCAAGTAGAGAGGGGCGAGTGTAGAAATCGGGGACACGGCACGCTTCTCCTTTTTCAGGTCTGCTTCTCTCGGAGATGTTCAGCAAGGGGAAGGCAATCGAGGACCGAAATCCACAGCTGAAGGTCGGCAATATCCGATATATGAATAGGACAGAAATTCCTCAGATGAATGTCGGGAAAAAAAATCCCATCTATGAATGGGAAACTGACGACTCGTGATCGATTAGAGAGAGACGACTTGCAAGAGAGGGGGGGAGAGAGAGACGACTTGCAAGAAAGAGAGGGAGAGAGAGACGACTTGCAAGGAGAGAGGGGAAGGGTGGAAATCGGGGACTACGTAAGCTTCACCTTCTTCAGGTCTGCTTCACTCGGATCTTCAGCAGGGGGGAGGCAATCAAGGACCGAAATCCACAGATGAATGCCGGCTAAATCCGATCTACGACTGGGAAACGCACGGCTTGTAAGCGACTAGAGAGAGACGACTTGTACTAGGAGAAGTGTGGAAAGCGGGGACCACCTAGGCTTCTCCTCCTCCTCTTCCTCCTTCAGGCCTTCACCTTTCAAGTAGGTAATCAATCGAGTTGACAAGAAGGGAGTTCAGCGATAAATGGCGGCAAAATCCGATCGAAGTGTGACAAAAAAAAAACAACTTGTCTGCGATCCGTCTGGAATCTTCTCCTAAGGACAGAGAGAGTTCAGAGCTGAGAGCTCTAGGCAAATCGTGGGCTATAATTAACCCTTAACGCACTGAGAATTGAACCGGGATCGCTGCATACGAAGAGCGTACGCCCTTGGGCATTGACAGACAGAGAACAGACAGAGAACCGAGAACAGAGAACAGAGAACAGAGAATTGCTTTTGTGAGACATGAAGAAATTTAGAGAAACCCTTCAAGAATAGACGGATCATACTTTCTTGGCTTTGGAAGATCAAAGAAATAGCCGAAATACCTTCTGAACGATCGAAGAAATAGTATTATCAAGCAATTAATTATTCCGCAATTATGTATGTAGTAGTAAAATAGGAGGAAAACATACGAAACGAACTAATTATAGGAGCAGCTGCAGCGAATCGGTATTATCAAGCAATTAATTATTCCGATGATCGGAAGGAGGAACAGTGTCAGAACTTTCGGCTGAAAGATCGTCTCAAGGTTGCACAGTGTGCTGCTGACAATGATGAAGACGAGGATGACAGGTGGGAAGAGGGTTGGTGTCAGATCGCATAAGATCAAAAAAAACTCCGCGAGAGTCCAGACCTCGACGAGCTATGGCCAGAAAGAGCCGAGAAGCGAGCCCCCCCCGGTCTCCGCTCGCCAACAAGAGGACCCACCCACCGTCAAAAAGATGTCGATGACGACAATGCCGACGACGACGAGAAGTCGAGTGAACAACAAGAGGCTAGCTATGGCGGACGACGACGACGACGAGAGATCGAGTGAACAAGAGGGATAGCTATGGCGGAACCATCGGCAAACACAAGTGGCACCAGTTCTGTTCCTAACGAAGCGATCCTGCCACTAACGAAGAGGACAGCTCAATAGCATTGCTCTTTGTCTCGGTCGCACAGAAACAAACGACTGGAACCCAAGGCCAAAAGGGAGGGAGTTTGGCTCCCGCTGTGGCGGGAATTCTGTCACTGTCCGTACCCACCCGTCGTCATTTCGTCCTCATATGGCGGGAATATAGGCCAACAGAAGCCGCTGCTTTTCGTTTCTCCTTCTCCTTACCTGCAGCACTCGTCCGTCCCTTCCCTCGTCGTATGCCCGAGCTTGCGAGTTCACTCGCGTCGCCAAAGCCTCCGCCAGTCTACCGTAAGCCGCAGTTACTGCATTTTGCCAAGCTGCAGTAAAAGATCATGGGCCTCGCTCCACTACACAACACTGTACATGCATTTGGACGCTAGAGGGACCAGGTGCGTTCGGACGATTCCAACGTTGTGAATGTATTCGGTTCCGGAAAGCGTCTAAATGCGTGTACAGTGTTTTGTAGTGGAGGGAGGGGCCCATGAGTTCGAATCAAGAGTCACCAGACGAGTACGATAATGCTAGCCGCCAAACGACCGCCAATAGACCAAGGCAAGGCGAGCCAGGGCAGGGCAGGGCAGGGCAGGGCAAGGCAAGGCACGGCAAGGCAAGGCAAGGCAAGGCAAGGCAAGGCCACGCCAGGCCAGGCCAGGCCAGGCCGCGCCAAGGCGCGCAAAGCCGCGCCAAGCCTCGCGAAGGCACAGGCAAAACGAACCGGACAGCAGACGACTGGCGTTGAAAATTTAAGTGGTAGTGATTTTTTTATTTATTTTTTTTAAAGTGGTATTGATTCAAACTTTTTCATGCGCTCGAATCCACCGCGCGCTCGTCGAATTGTAAAAGAACGGGAAAATAAAGAGAAGAAAAGAAAAGGGGAAAAAAAAACAAAAAAGGAGAAATGGAGAAACAAGCGGAGTTCCGATTCCGCGCGCGGGCATACGACGAGGGAAGGGACGGACGAGTGCTGCAGGTAAGGAGAAGTTCCGCAGTACCTGCGGAAGCTCGTGGGGGGCGGGAGATGCCTGCATAGCAGCGCCAAGGGACAGTCCCCAGCCCCTGGGAGGGGAACAGAGACCTGGCAGGCGCGGGGGTAGGAACGAGGCGGTAGGACGGCGGGGATAGGAACGAGGCGGTGGAGGGGGGCGGGGGTTACAGAGGCGGGGGCTCTTTGGCGGGGACGAAAAACTTTTTTTTCTTTCTTTTTCTTTTTTCTTTTTTCTTTTTTCTTTTTTCTTTTTTCTTTTTTTTGACGAAAATATTCCACGTGCCGTTCACACGGGAAATTTTCAGTCTTTCTGATTTTTGACAGTTTGACAGGCGTACGACAGCGCACATATTCGAGCGGGAAGTGTGAAATGACCGGCTTGTTTTTGTTCCCACCTTTCCCGCTTTTCACGTGACTGCAGCCAATCGTTGTCGCACAACCGGCCATCGGCGACAGCCCGTTTTAGAAAGAAAAACGAAGCAAAAAACAGAAAAACGAAAAACAAAAAAAACTGAAGATGGGCCTCGCCACACCACTCTCCAAATGTGAAAAGGACAAAAATGTGGCGGGTGCATCTGGCCATGTCCTAGCGGGAAGTTCAGTGTCTTTTTGCACATTTCGAGAGTGGTGTTGCGATGTCCGATCTCTCTCCCGCCCTCTCCTCTCGTTCTTTGCTCGAGAAAGGTCTGTCTCTTTAGCACCTCGCCTCACCACTCACCAAATGCACAAGCGACAAAAATCATGACGATGTATGTGTCCATATTCTTCCGGAAGATTCATCCTCATTTGGCACATTCGGTGGGTGGTGCGGCGACGCCTCTCTCGTGACCGTGCCGCAGTGGCCTGATTCCACCGCTCTACAACAACGTAGGACAAAAAAAAAAAAAAAAAAAAAAAAGGACAAGGGCAACGTTCGGACTCAGACCGAGTCCGCCGAGCGACCGTCTGTTACTGTTACGTTGTCGGCGACGGCTCGATCCTCGCGCAACGGTGCCAATGGGCCTCGCTGCACTACTCTCCAGATGCACAAAAGACAAAAACGATGGCAATGTATCATGCCATGTTCTAGCGGTGGATTCGGTCCCATTTTGCATTTTTTTTCTTTTTTTTTCTTTTTGAATTTGGAGAGTAGTGCAGTGAGGCCCATAGCAATTACTACAAAATGGAGCCGCGCGCACGTAGCGCCCCAGAGTGGCTTCCGACAGTGGGTGTTGTCTTTGGAACTGTGGAGGGGCTCTGGAAGCTCGGGCCTAGTTGGACCACTCCCCATCCGCCAGGATTTTGACTGCATATGGAGCATTTTCATGTCTAGATTCATTCGAAATGTTGATGGCGAATGGTGCAGTGCTACTAGGCCCTCAGTATATTCTCCCCCCCCCCCACAAAAAAAAAAAAAAAAAAAAAAAAGACTACGATTCTTGTGTCGCGGACCATACGGCCATAGATTCCGATGATCTATGGCTACAATGTAACACGTCTGTCCAGTGTGGCAGACCCCGCGTCTCAGGAGGGCATACTCTCACTACTGTAGGACTTCTCTTCCACTTCTCTCTGGACGTAACTTCGGTCAGGTTCATCCAGGCGGGGTTGGAAACGTGGTCTTATACATCCAGGGAAGTCCTCGTGTGAGTACGCCGTCAGATCAGCTCATTGCCAAGTTTTTTTTTTTTTTTTTTTTTTNACACAGCCACCACCTTGCCCCCCCAACCCCTCCCCCCCCAAAAAAATCACCCCCAACCTATGTATCCCTTGTGGCCGCGGTCACCGCGGGCACGACCACGGCCCATGCAGTCGACCGCGGGCCCG